GTATAAATGATATGAAATGAAATCATATCATTTATACCATATCATAATTCATCAATAATCAATCATTAATATGATTTCATCTTCTCAATCGTAATTGATAAAAAAAATTCATTTTTTTAATATCAAACCAAAAGGACACCTATAAAACATATCAATCTAATTTATAGTATCTATCTCACATAAGAATCTATGTAATCATGTAATTGCAATCCACATCTACGATTGTGCTCTCTTCAAGTCATAAAAATATGCTTTATGTGTCACATTTCTGCCTACAGTTACGGACAGACCTAAGTTCATAAGTCCATATTACACATGGTCAAGCCTACTTAGTAAAGCGGGGCGAGAAATTAGCTTTATTAAGTAGCACCAGGAAACCTTCGTTTAGGGTTAGTTTAGGCGGTGTGTAAATGTGAGCTTTATTAGAACGGTAGACGAAGCAAATGCAACTCCACAACTGGATGATGCTCAGAGAGAAAGTAGTTCTAAATAGAGACCACAAACATCAGCAATGAACCCTAAACCCTAAATAACAGGGAATTTATTTGGAACACGCTACTCGGTTACAAAGTAGACGGATGCCATTGCTTTAGTTTGCTTAGCAACAATTTCGCCCAGCAATAGTCTGGCAGCTTGTAAATATTTACTATGAAGTACCTCATGTAGGCTAACCATTTCCAAGCTAGACTACCGCATCAATACTTTAGTGGAAGAGAGAAGGGCTGGGGTATAAGATGTTTGGCTGTCATATATTTTTAGATAGATAGCGAAAACAAGTACAACTAGTGATTGGGGAGCTTGAGGAGTGATATTAGAAGTGTGTTGAAAGCTCCCTGTTAGACTTTAATTAGGAGTGGAGGAGACTGGGAGTGAAACGAATGAAGCTCTAAGCAAGATCTTCTGCTAGTTTTGATTTAATATTGATTGTAAATGTTTCACCACTTTGACTCTCTACACTCTAGATATCCATTCTTCCTGAACTTACTTCACTCTCTCAACTACTCAAACTAGTGTGAACTTATTCGTGACAAAACACTTTTTCTCTCTTCCTTGAGTCTGAACCCTACACCGTGTAGGGTTTAGGGTTTAGCGTATAAACCTGAACCCTTCATTGGAGTTCATCACAAGTCCTCTGACCTTGCAAACCTATTTGCTTTTTGTTTCATTCGAATACATTTTTGACATTTCTGCATGAAACTTCTTATTTGTATGAATGGTAATACCTTTAGATTAGCTAGCTACACTTCTTCCAAACATAATAAAATTTGTCTGAAAATCATAACTACACCCCCACACCATCATGATCAAATGCTTCTGTTGAGCAGTCTGCTGGATTGTCTTCAATGTCTACTTCAAGCTCATCGGGATCCATCATTTTCTACATCGAACTGCAGTCTATCAGCTTTCTCACCATGCTGCCGTTGATTTTAACATTATAATTCCATGGTTTGAGGTAAGATGAGATTCACCTTGGTGCCATTAACAGAAATGCACGCTGAACCTTGCTCTTGGTTGTGGATCTGATAATGCCATGAGCCGGGGTCCTACCGAGAAGCTTGTACATCTTAAGTATAGCCTTCTACATTGAGTGAGGTCTCTTAAGAAAACTGTAAATTGCTCTGGAATTTACACGCCTCCACTATTCCAACCAGCATACCATGTCGACAAAAATCTGCAAAACGTTGACCTCGAAATCCAAAGTCTCAAAGCAATCCAAACCATCTTCTAGAAGATGGATGCAAGGCAAGGATTTCGTGCGTAATCTTAATGAATTCTTGTCAACAATCCTGTTATTATGACTACCACTGTATTCGGCGTTATCGTCATTTTGGCATATCCGAAGCAGTAAACAATCAGTAGGGAAAAATATTTATATAATAGTCGGGTGTGCAGATTACGTTGACCTAATACTGGTGGATAATCACATGCGCGAGCCTCCAAATGATTATAGTTCAGAGGTTGATCATGGAATAGTGGTGGCACTGGTTTTGCCGTTCGGCCTGGTTTCGATCTCGTCGTCTCAATACACGAGTCCACCGGTTCGTACATTTCAGACTACTCGAGAGCCATTATTCTTTGACTTTGGGATTCCAAGCCATACCCACAAAGCCATGGTGATACTGTGAACTTCGTTCCACATTCCAGTCAAGACAAAAGCTAACTCGGAACAGCTCGTTCCAGACTTCTCCATCTCTCACGAGCTGGTGAACTAACCATTTGGCACTTCTCGCGTACAGTGAGCGAAGTATATTATAAATGAGGACCAATAATTTGATATGATTTGGGGAGAAAGATGCTTGCAAAGCAGGGAGATAAATGGTTGAATAGAAAATGCTAATTGATACTGTTGGATTATATATCATATTTTCAGTTGTATGGATTAACTACAACGAGAAAAACTTCATTGTCAAATTGGGTAAATATTCCTTTTGTATGAGAGAGTATGGGTCGACGTTGATTCCGATTTGCTTCATTGGAGATTGTAAGATTCGGAGGACTGTGAGGAGCAAACTGTCAATAATTTCTGATTTCTTCATTCCCATCTTTATTTTTGATGGTATAGGATAACATAACATTTTCTATTCTTCAGCTGCCAGTGACAAAGAAGGCATTGATGTACACCAGAATGCGAGGGCCTGTAACCATTATAAAATGTGGAGCCTGATCTACGTTCTGGTTTTCCACTGAAGCAGCCCACTACTCTCGGTACCTTTTAATGAGTACTGGTGGTTGACTTTCACCTTCCAAAGCACCGCATCTCAAGCACATATAAACATAATGAATTTGGAAGTTTTAAGGTTCCAAAAAAAAATAAAAAATTTGGAGAGTGAATGGTCTCGTTGCCTCTCAATATATGTGTATTTTTTGGGATAATGAACTGAAGGCAAACTTCCTTTTACGCTGACAGGGACAGAGATGGCATTGGGACTCGCAATGATATATTCCTGAATGCAAGGGACCGAGGGCTCTATCATATGACGAGAGTGATCTGTGTATTGTTTTGTATATGGATCCATGTATCCCTCCCTCAAATTTTTATTATACATATACATTTATTTTAAGTTTCTTCCTCGTCAATTATGACGAAGGTTACTCAGAGCAGTTGACTTTCAAAATTCATTTGGATGTTCGCTTCCTATTCCATGACCTTGATCTGGACCGGAGTTTTGTTTATAGTTCTTCTTTCCTTCATTCTCTCTCTCTCTCTCTCCTCTCTTGCGTAACTTGTCTTCGCCGCTAGGTGCAAACTTCGAGGATCCTCTTCTGCCAAGAACGGTGATGTCATCATGAATCTCGTCCTCGTGACGACAATCGCCTCATCTCACACGCCCAACTATCATCTATGGATGTGCTAGTTTTAGGCGATGATTCTTCTTATCCTCTATTGCTAGCTTCAGGCTATGAATTTTCGTGTACTCTTGTTACGAGATCTTTTGACCTATGTTTGGATATGGTAGGTCCCTTATGACGTATCATTTGCATCTTATATTTTTGTATACATCCTTGCTGGGAGCCTTTTCATACTTTTTTTACGTCAATGAAAACCTTCTGACTTTGGTATGGTAGTTACCATATCACAGAATTACCACTGGGCGTCTTTACATCTCATTTGTTTGGATTCATCCATGTACAAGCTGTTGGGGTCTGTTCGTCCTTTTAGTTGTATCAATTAATGTCCCCTATACTTATAGTATGTACTAGCAGACATCACTGGCCGTCGCTTTCTCTTGGTCATTATTGGTCGTCTCGATATGTAACATGTCATTGTATATCTCAATTTTGGGTCTTGTTTGTCTTGTAAGTCAGCTTTGGTGGGTTGAGTTTGTTTTATGTCTTCAATTCAGTGATATTTTTCAGAGGCTAGACCGTACACGGACGAATTGGTCGGCAATGTGGATGGCAATCAGTGAGATTATGGAATGGTACAAGGAAAGGAAGCTCAGAGGGATGAGATGGGCTCATCGTCGAATGTGAATCTGCTCCTTGAACACTCAGTCCGCTCAAGATGTGCTCGAGGAAGGTGATTGTATTATCAACGTGTTGAGGTGAAGTGAGGAGGAGCTGTTGAGGAGGGGGTGATCCAAGGTGGAAGGGAGGGTTGCTCATTTACACTCACCTGCAGGCGAATCTGAACTTGCCATGTGATGAGGTCAGGGCCGATAGAGTTAGATCCATGAGCCGAATTATGAACCACGAAGGTCCTCAAGGGCAAGAAGAGTTGTAGGGGTATGAGAGTCACTGACATGCAACACTCAAATGGAGCTGCATGATTGGGTTTGAGTACTTGTGGGCGAGTTCTGGAAGCGGGGGTGTGCCCATGCAGCGATGATGTGAAGTGAAGTGAATTGAGATGTGAGATGCTGAATGGAGTGAGCCATGTTTGGATTCCGCCCCAAGGCTTGGTCCTTGGCCTGTTGCAAGTGTGTTGACTGGAGGATATGGGGTTGAGGAGGGGACAAAGTGCAGGAGGCATCTAAAGTTGTTTGCTCAGATCCCGAAATGGGAGACTATCCCAGACAACGGAAGTATGTGGAGAAGATGGAAAAGTCAAGCTCAGGTAGATATTCTCTCGCTGACCTACAAAGTGGGGGCACTGAAGCACTGAAGCTGACAAATGGTTTGCACATTCGGGACGAGGGGCAATCTGTGTCAGCAGCATCTCGTTTGCGAAGAAGGGTTGATTCTGGAGTGTTGCCTGGCCTGTTGAAAGTCAGCTTCCATTATCCAGTAACAGTATTCAGTTTCTTTGCGCGCATCCCACCCCTCATTCGCTTTCACTATTCACTCACAAGAAAGCTGACTTGAGCTCAGACCTTGCCAAGGACGAGATTCAAGCAGCTCGAAAAAAAGTATGCCACGAAAACCTCATTGCAATGTCTTTCTGCGTCTACAGCGTGCTGCTCAAACTGTTTCCAGCATACAGCAGTGAAGGTGGAACGGTGAAACCGTGTCATGTGTGGTATTGGAGTGAGGGGCAGCAGGAGAAGCCTGTCAGGGGTCCAATGGGCCTGGGCCCAAACTCACATGAATTTTAAAACTTTGAGCGAGAGAGAGAGAAAGAACAAGAGAGAGAACTTTTACTCAGCCAGTCTCGGCCTTTCCACCGGGAGCAGTCTCGAGGTAAATATCCGACCAATTATCATGTGTATGTCCATAAATTCATGTTAAATAGTCTGCTGAGGGAATATTGGCTATCGCCGAGCTCTTTGCTGATGTACTTAACCCTACTTCTCAGAGTATGGAGAGGGTTGCCCTTCACACCGCAAGACGAACGCTTCGAATGCAAATGTGAACTACTATAGCAATGCATATCTATTCTCATAGACTCCTTCTTCTTTCCTTTAGAGTCGGTGTCCTGAACAAAACTGAAGAACACTTCACTCCGAGTCTTCGAACGAGAATCAGAATCCTGTGGAGACCTAAAGATGCTGAAATATACAAGACATGTGTTATTCAAATTCAAGATCACTATTTACTTCCCTTTGGCTGGTTTCGGTGGAGGTTTTTTGCCTCTTTGTCCCTTCACAGGCTCCTCTTCTGGCGGGGGAGGCTTTCCGTAGTCCTGGATCACGGTGATAAATACCTCAATATATTTGTAACAGTCATCACAAGGAGCTGAATACCCAAATGCATTTCTCTGGTACTGTTTACACAGTTCGCGAGAACATTGGAAAGGGCAATGCACGTAAGTAGTTGCGAATCAGGCCGAGCAAATACTGTGATCTTACCCTGACCCTGTTATGAGTCTCCACATCCCATGGCTGAATCTTGTAGCAATGGTTCAATATTTCATCGGGCTGAAGTGTCACTCTCTTCATCTGTAATGACAATGTCAACAAGTTTACCCATTGCAGACTTGCATTCACCTTCAAGTTAACAGTGGTAAGAAGTGAGATAGAGCAGAGCTTGTGGGTTGACAAAGAAGATTCTCTCATGTACAAACTGTTACCTTGTTATTGTTGGAATAGGTCGAACGTATTATACAATATGATGCTGCTGTGACCATTTCTAGTATCGACACTCTTGCCTATCGAGTACTCTTGTATGCACTGGTCTTGCCGAATCAGGTGGTTTTGTACTCACACAACGGACGCGCTTCTCGGTGCAGGCCCATTTGATGACCTGCTCAATAGAGCTTACGCTAAAGTCTTTGGAGTAGCTTGCCAAAATCGATACATCAAATCCGTACTTCAGTTGTGCTTTATGCCTCTCCAGGAGAACTCTCCAGATCATCAGCCTACTCGCATAGTCCGGGTATGGGCAGTAGATGCGTTTTGTAAAAAAATTCAAGAAGGTACTCGTGAGCTTGTTCGGACCATTTTTGCCCCCACAATCCTGGTAGTCAATTGTAATGGCTTATGAGAGTGTGGAACGTCCATTACGGAATCTATGATATTGTGATGAGGTAGCTAAAATCAAAGTACAGAAAGTCATACTTAACGGAGGTATTTATGTATGTGACAGCTAGCTATCGAACGACCTCCGAAATTCTGTTGAACACAGGAACATGCGAATCCAGCCTTGGGACTTCTCAGAGGAGGCACGCATTGTCTACGAAGGTTTATTATCACGCTGAACAAACCAAAACATATGTGTACATCAAAGTTGTGAAGCCTTTATGTACAAGCGAGATCACTGCACACCTGAGGTCTATTTGTACACCCGATGACAACAACGCGATCGCCTGGCCAAATGGCTTTCATTTCTTTATTCAACGCTCTTTTTATTCTATTGGGTTTATCCTTCATTCCCCAGCTTTTGATTTTCTTCCTGGCGTTTATGAACACCTGGATCATGAATTTAATACCGTTACAGTATATCACACGTCAACTCAGCACACTGTCATCCTTCCTATAGCTGGTCAAAAGCAATCGATGACTTTGACCACGAAGTTCCAGTTATATGTCTGGTCGCCAAACTACTGAGGATTGAGAATTCTGGAATTTCGCTGTCTATGAATGATTATAAGCACTTTCCTATCACCTGGATTCGACATAGAATTTCAGTTAACTCTACGATGATGGCACGCACCTTTTCAACTTCATCTATGTAAATAATGCTAGGCGCCATGATTTTGGCCATCTTGAACGTCATCTGAATCATCTGAACCACCTTCTTGCCTCCTTGGAATTTCCCGTTCGTGTTTCGTGGTGACAAGTTAAAGAATGTGCAACCTGCTGAACGACAAGCTGCATGTACCTGTCCATGGAAGTCTTTCACGTTCTTGTCAGTGTATGTCTGATGCTACGGATAAGAAACATTCTATGAAAACGTGCTGAAGAGTCTGTTCGGTGAAAAAATTACCAGCAGAGTTTTGCCAACACCTTCACCACCATATAAGAGAACGGACTTGATCAAAGGCGCCTTCGAGTTAACCATCTCCGTAGCCAGAGGAAGGATGCAGTATTCGATTACTTGTCTTTTAGCCTGAATGACAATCGTTCTCTGATAAACGGGATGGGCTTGAAGAGTGTTCTCAACTGATCTTCTTGGGATGCCAACGTGATTCAAATCTTGCAATCAGATTTCCTCACATCGTTCTTGGAGGTGGATATAGCAGCAGTACCTGTGCCATGGATGGGTCAACTCTAGCGGCCCAGCCCGGCTTTGGAGGGACAGCGGTGTAGTTTTCGGCTCCTACATACTCAGAAAAGGAGCGCTGTGGGCAAAGCTGTATGATCCCATTCTTCACCAGCTCATCGAAGATGATGTCCAAGCTCTTGTTCATAGTTGGGTCTTTTTTCCTTTTCGGCTTCTTAGGCGGTGGAGGAGCGCCTTCGTCTTTCTTCTCTTTTTCGGCTTCCTTCTTCGCTTTCTTTCGTGCAATTCTGTCCTTCTTTTCCTGGGCTCTCTCGGCCTTAAGTCTAGCTTTGAATTCCTTCTCTTTGCCTTCTTTTTTGGCCTGCTTCAGCAGTGCCTTAATCCTGGCCTTCTTTTCAATTTTCATCTTCTTCTTCAGGTTGACTAGCAGCTTTTTCGTGTTGTCATCTGTCAGTAGCCTCATCTGTTCCACGCCCAGTTAATGATCAACTAGATTTCCAACCTTAAGTCTGAATATTATGCCACGGTTAGAGGAAGGAAGAACAGGAAAGCGTCTTGAATTGCAAGGACCTGATGAAAACATAACACACAACATCACGCAACATTTCTGAATCTGGAGCAAGTCCTTCCATCTAGCTAATCAAGTGCACTCACGAGCCAACCTCTTCAAACACTATAGGTCGCAGGGCTGATTTCAGAAGGTCTGGAACGAACTTCTGCTCGAAGTTGTCATAGTCATCCTTGTCAAACCAGTGTTTCTTGTACAGATCATGAGACTCTTTCACAAATCTTCTGAAGTAATCAGGGCACGTCGGTGGCGCATCTTCATCTGGTTCAGGGAACTTTGGAGGTGGCACTTGACCGCCTTTGGTCTTCTTCGTTTTCTTCTGTGGTTGGTCAGCGCCTCCCTTCTTCTTGTCCTTGTCTGAAACGGGGCGCTCGATCGCCGGTAGAGGATCGACAATCGAATAGCTCCCTCCGTCTTTCTTCTTCGGCAACCCTTGGTACATTCCTGTCTCCGGTTCTCTATTCTCGTTCAGGTACACATTTATTCTCTCCTGTATAATCTCGCACATCTCCTGCCCTTCTAGATCCTTGATTTTCTGAAGTGTTGCGCAAGTAGCATTCTGCAGCTCCAGCTCGTTTTCCAGCTGGGCCTTCTTCCGTCTATCGTTTATCTCCACCAACTTTTTTCTCGGATCTTCTGGATCCGGTGGCTGGAAGTTGTTCATATCTGTTCGATGACACGCCCATCCCGCCCAACGATGTGACTTCGTTTACAATAGACTTTGATGATAGAAATGGAACGAGAAGTAGCTACTTGGCTATGTCAATTCCTCTTCCTCTTCCTCTTCCTCTTTGTGGTTCTCAAGTCAGTACATGGCCAACTCTGGAAGCTCTCTTATTTTCGAGATCGGGGGCAAAAAAGGAACCAATCGTTACACAGAAGAACAAGTGAGATGTTCAGATTATCATAGCTTGATTCTATTCTGCGAAGGTAAACGACTGTCAATCCGATCACTACAACTTACCTAGAAATGTAAGCTCCTTCAGGGCAGCCTTCCTTGTGCGTACTCTCCCGAGGAACCCCCGGATACTGAAAACTTGTTAAGGATGCATCGACTCTACAGGTTAAAATCTCTTGAACTATGAGCAGTCCTCAACTGTCAAAATCAGTTCATACATCAAGGATTTCATGGTCTGTACAGTATTGTAGCAGTTGATTAGTATGTCTTCCACGGCTAGGACCAGCAGTCACTGATGCTAGTCTTGACCCTCTTCGATAAGCCAGATCTTGTTACCATGCCCTCTCACCTATGAGCAGCATCACTGAAATCAGAACTCTCTAGGAAGAACTTTCCAAACTTGAATGGAGACCAATTCGGAATTGAGCTAAAGTTCCGAAATTCAGCAAGAGTGTTGACTACACCTCCAATGCTCAGATATCCAATAGTCAAAGGTTTGATCAGGAACTGAGGAGATCATGTACTCTGACTTGATTGATTGATTTGTGTTCCAATGGAGTGCTTAAGATTTGTGTTTCACAAATTTGAAACTCTGAACCACAAAAAAGTGTCTGGTGATTCTCTAGCCACATAAGGAATATTAGGAAGGTAACCCTGAAGTACATCGCGATTCATTTTCTACAACTAAACTTCAATCCAATTTACATTTCACTGTTGTGGTTTGACTAGAGTGAATCAGTTCAGTACACAAGGCAAACATCGGGAGTATCCTACATTCAATGCATGACATCCCTGTATTCCCCCCTACTTCATCACTCGTTTGAATGTAACGGAAGAAGGCAGCGTTGAAGCTCCTACCTCCTTTGCGCATCCGCACGATCTGCATATGGAGGCACAGGTTCTAATGTACTATGCATGGTCAGTAGTTTGAACGCAAAATCGACATATTCTGAGGCAGATCGAAGTCTGTCACAAGGATACACCCGCTGAATCACCAGGCAAGCACTTTCACGTGTGTGAGATTCCACTCCAGCTTTTTGACGTGCCAGCTCTACCTCTTGCATTGCCCTGTAGTCCTTTGCAACTTTGCAGACACCGATCGTTAGCTTTGTCTAACACAACATGTGAAAACATCAGGTATGACATCCTTACAGGGGCACTGTGAGAGCAGAATGATCGATATCTCAGAACCTGGCAACGCAACGCAGGGCGAACGAGAAAGGCAGAAAGTCCCAAGGACTGCACCAGCTGAGCTCTCAGTGTTGGCCTACTCAGTACCGTATTTTCTGGATCTCGGCGATCTTCTGTCGAGCTTGACGTCCCCTTTCCTCCGCCTGCAGAATCGCATCATCATAGCTTAGGCCTCTGCTGACGAGCAGGAATGTTGCGGACCTTCATCTCCGAGACTCGATGTGCATCGATGATCGAGATTGCTTTTCACACTTTGATTTTCCAAGGACTTCATTATGCATAGATTTGAATGTTTTCAAGCATTCAATGAATTTTATTTTCACTTGTTGCAGGCTTATATGGCGAATGATTGTATCACTCTATTCGTTTATTCGTTCGGAATCCGTTGGTACTTCAATTCAACATTATACACTATAGTGTAGAATGACATAAGTGTTGTTGAGATAATTGTTTGCAAATCAAATCTGTGGGCATGTCAGAGGTAGAAATATGGCACTTCTAATTATGTATTTCAAAAAATTGGATTGGATCACATTGCAAGAAGATTCTATATATACCACACATATACTCTCATTCATGTCAAATGCACCATCCCAGTAGCTTGGATCTAGTATAACATGGACGGGAATAACTTTCATCATTTGTGTAAGGAGAGTATTGCTTCTTTAGGATTTTAACATACATTCATGAACAATAACACATTGAAGTATTAAACAGAGAAAATATTTTTGTTTGATCACTACTTATTCATTATCTAAGCAATATCCGAACTTGCTCTAAGAGCCTTATCAAGCCTTATGTTCTAGATTCCATTTATATATATGTATATGATCTCTCTAGTTTTTTCACCAAAATTTTCCATGGATATGCATCCATTGCAACAAGCCTGATTTACTTCTTTTTTTCATATTTTTAGTGCTGATCGACTTTTTTGAGTTAGATAATGATATTGAGTGCATTGAATCAATATCATTTGTAAAGCAATCCTGCAACGTAATTCATACTTCTAGTATCCTCTTTAACCATCTCATTTTGAAGTTGTCACATCGAGACAATGTCAGATGATATTGATGGCCATTAAAATATTTATGAATTCAGTTTGATTGGATTGTCTTAAAAAATCATATAAAGTTATTGATCATTTTTTCAACAATTTATTTGAAACAACATTAAGTTGAACTGTCAAATTTCTATGATTTGTTCTTTGAATCTTATGTCAAATCTTTATGGAGTATTGTTAACAATATCAGATAATAATTTCATTTAGAACAAGTTAACGTTAATCATAATAGCTAACTATATCGTCTATTGTCTTGCATGTATACTTTGTATCTACTCATTTAGTGTAAAATAACACATCACGGATCATGCATACATCATTATCTAACTCTTCACTCACTAAAAAATAATTTCATCTTGCAAGATTGCAAGTAAATGTGTATATATATATATATATATATATATATATTATTTTGTGAAAAAAAAACTAAATTTTCAACAATTATGATATTTATAATGGTATTGATAGGTTAAAGAAATTTAGGATTGCAAGTAGGAAATAAACTTGTCTTTTATCAACTACAAGTTGTATTGGCAAAGGGTAACGAGTCATACGGAAAAATAGTTGACTGAGATTGACCATTCGCACCTCTAAATATATCGTACAAGACAATATAACGTCATCTTAGTAGGAGGGTGTGCGAGATTCTACAGATTATTTAACCCTCTCAGGTTTTCTATAGACGTAAATGATGATGAGTATTCTGATGCAATCCATAGCATCCTCTCAATATTTCTATAAACGTGAAGGATGATGACTATTCTGAAGCAATCCATACAACCAAGTGACAATTGCAAGTCCAGTGCAAGTCCAGTGTATCCATAATTGTTTGATAATTGTTTGACTTGGTTGGAGCACTAGTGCTATTTGTACACTGATTTGAACAGAAAGTTAGGTGATAATATGTAGTGTACTATAATACATCTTCCACCTTGATGACCTTGGGGCCTCTGGTTTCATCCTTTGATTGTTTCCATCTTGGGTACTCTCCCCTTCGACTTCCACTATTATCATGGTTTATACTCTCCAGCAAGAAACGGGTTGTGTGAGAAGTCGAACCTGGATTAGGATGGCAGCCTCATCGAGCGTCAAGACGGAAGGTGGTTTGGCTGGCTCCGGAACATTCATCAATCCGTGTTTTGTCAATGCAGCGATCTGATGCGTCACAGAAGAACGATGAAATGAAAACCATTTGAAAAACATCCAACACACCGTGATGTATATTTATATAAAAACGCGAAACTTAATTTTGCAAGAAAATTTTCGAATCTTAGTAGAAAATCCATTTGCAGGAGTACAAGACGGTCGTATAGTATCGAAGAGATATATACTCCTTCATTTTATCGGGAAACATACGATTTGGTGTACCATCTGCTCCCATAAAGCCAGGCAATTATAGAGGTTTGCAAACCCAGTGAACTGCAAACTGATTATTGTCTGTCACTCAGTGGAGTCGAATAGACTTCCACAATTGAACATTTGGCCGGACGAGGTCAACGGATCATGCCGGAGCAACTTACCAAAAACTTTTCACGAGATTCTAGAAGGGCTTTGTTATCATCGGTGAGAAAACGTGGGGGAATCACGTTCAGCACTTCAAAGCTCAGCTTGCGGTTCACCTGCGAAGATACGAGTGATCGATCGAGCAGTACGTAATACTGGTACATAATGCGCAGTTGAGGAGATCTGAAAGTCAGAGATGCGTGGAGAAATTCCATATTTAGGTTAACGAATGCAGAAGTCATGTGACATCGTTTGATTTTAGAGTGTAGTTGCAGACCACGATTCTGGATTTTACCAGATAGTCAGAAAAATCGTAATATTCACCTCCTTCGTTAAGAATCACCATGAACTGCACAGAACAAGTACGAATTGTAGTTTTCAGACTCCATGTCTTGAATCAATCTATCGACCCTTCCTTGTGTTGAAGCTGCTTTGGCCTACAAAACCCTCTGTACGAGAGCCCGACCATATCATGATGGAAGACATTTCTTCCCTAGTTCAGGTGTGATGGATTCAGATCTCACTGATTTTATCTCCAGTATACGGCCGATGCATGCTTCCAGTGCTTTTTTTGCATCTCTGCGTTTTTGAGGGTGAACAATCTGCCAAAAGCAATCATGAGTTGAATTTGAAGCCGAAACTTGTCAGAAGGAGTTATGAACACTCCATCACTTCAACATTCTTTCTGCTGCGGATCATGATACTAACGAAGTTGAAGTGGAGCTCCACTCGGTGAGGAGCATCTGCATACCTACCTGATCGTAGCAATCTTCGAGTTTGGTGTAGACTTGGAGATACTTGAGGTACAGAAGGGACCACTCGGCCAATCCGTTCTGTTCGACAAAAGACGTGCAGACAAATGTCAGCGAATGACGTAGTGATGACAAGATACGAAGCATCTTCTGCTGCCAGGGTTGAATGATGGAAGGATTCTTGCCGAAACAGGAGTTTCGTCTTTCTTGCGCTTATTTTTGACATCATCTTTGGGCTTCGTCAGCAGCGTTTCCTCTTCGAACAACGCCAGCATGTCTTTCATTCCTTCACCCCATTGCTCATCCAAGAGCCTGCCCCACCATCCGACCTCTACCGGCTCAGGAATGACAACTCCGAGCTACTCTCTCACGGTCACCATAGAATTTTGTGTATCTCCACAAGTCAGTACAAATAAATTCTTTCTTCTAAAGCCTGCCCACAATTGTCCACTTTCTCTTGCTTACATGTGTTTTGTCATTCACTTACTGTTACTCTTTCCATCTGCAAAACGTCGATTGCAATGTCCTGTATTTACATCTCTCTGGTTACGGTCTAAACCTGTGGAGCCCTACATTTTATTACGTAGGGTTATTCAGAATGAGCTTTTACAGGATTTGTCGACTTACACATGCGACGCCATTGCTTCAACACACCACAGCTTCTATTCTGTACACTTCCGCGGGCAAGAAATTAGTGATTCCCACGGCTAATGTTTTAGAAATAGCCTGCTCACGATTTCCCGGCGCTAAACCTTCTCATAGAAACTGAATTTTCACTTCGCATGATAGAATCGCGAGGGATTCATGCGCAGTGTCATTGTCTTCAGAAGTTTGGCGATAATCGTCACTTCTTCTCGCTGGGGCCGTTGAAAGCCACAAATCAGAACATTGCACTCGAGAGATCTGCGAACACAGCCGATAAATGGGAACAATCGTAGAGACGAAATCTTTAGTGGCAGCCTGGTCAAGCGGAGTATCCTACTATGATGGCGGACGGTAGATTGTGACCTGGCAATAATTTCTTCAACAAACCAGTCGGAAATTGAGTAATTCTCATGCTCGGAACGCATACAGGGAGAACGGGGGCCGCTTGTCAGCCCATGAATGCACAGGGTTCATTTTCGAGGTATGTAGGAAGCCAATTTGTATGGTTCGAATTTCCGCATTCACACAGTGGACCATAAAAAGTTGAAAAATTCTTACAAGTCAAGCACTCGCCGCTCATGTGCTTATTCGTCAGGCATTTTCACTGAAACGAATCTTTCCGGCTCTATGTTAATTGCTGTCAGACGAATTCATGAAAACCTCGGCAAAGCATGAACTGTGACCGTCGTCAATCACATCATCGACGTCCGAATGTAACCAGATACAGCTATGAGTGGCTATCATGACTGATGCAGCCGCAGGCCGTCCTTACAAGGCGAGAGGGTTCGGCTCCAGAGAGCAGATTCCTCGTGGTCAGATGACACAAAAGCAATACTTGCGATAGGTAGTGACGAAGACGAATTGAATAGAGAAGACGGACCAGATTCCATCGTCAGAATGCTGATCTTATGCGATGAAAAAATTTCTTTCAAGGGGTAGAAGAACATAATGTACACGTTTTACAGTTGAGCATTTATAAAATCTACAACGCTCTATAACACGGACACTGGAGAGTGCCTGATTTTTCAACAACTCTACTCAACTGGCTGAGCTGAGCTGTGCTGAACTGGGCTTCCCAAGGTTATGACTGGGAGCATAGATCCGTTTTGGCTGAGCTTCACAGAAATATATAAAACTCCGCTCAGCTTTGGAAATAAGAGAACATGCTCCCATCTGCGCTTGACGACGAGTGCGTAAAGAATTTGATTATCCTAAGCCTATACTACTGGTACAGCAAGTCAAAACGAGATAGCAAGCTCTCGCAGAGTTCGTGCAACGATCCTTGACACAAGTCGGTTTGCAATTTCCGGTACTAACTGAGTGGCAACGCTCGGTAACACTGGTAGTAGTTCCTGCACGACTTCCATGATCTGCAAATCTCCTCCCTGAAATCAAATCTCAACGTTATCAGCAGGCTTGAAAAAGTTATTTCCATGACGGAGCGTGTTTCGCATTCAGAACTTGAGTCTTCAATATGATTCAGATGATAGAACTTCTCCAAATAGAAAACATTACAGGCTTCTTACCTCCGATATAGATCGAGATGATGAAGTTCCAACCGAGAGAAAAGCTACAATCCTTCTCACGTTGTTGAGCACGGTTTCATCTTCAGGCGTGACTGTAGGTACTAGGACAAAAGGCCTTAAGCCAGGGATGGGTACGACGCTCAACACTGGACGCAGTCTATCGATGCCCAAACCAACCATAACTCGAGCTAGTTGTTCTCTGCTTACAGCGTCGATACCTTTAACTACCTGCATTAGTAAACGACACACCAACTATCAGTCAGAAACTCTCCAAGGCCTGAGTGCATAGAATAAACGCAAGTAGTTTTAAGGGGCGGAAGCGTCTGTGAAGATTCCAGTAACTCTGGAAAGGAAAACTTTCACAACGCGAATGCTAGTATTCACAACAAACGCTAGCAGCTAATCTCACCTCGTCTAAAATAAACTCTCTGAAGAATTCCCCCTGCTCCGAGAAGATGAACAACAACGCTGTTCTAGTCTGCACACGCCTATTTTGTAGAGTCGGCGACGGCCACTGAATATTGCCGGCTGGGACTAATCCGTAAGAAGCCATATTTCCTTGAAGCTCACCACCGCCTCCACTCTTAGCTGCAGCTGCAAAAGTCTCGAAGGCCTCCAGAACATCGATGAATCTATCTGCGTCAAAAACTCCCGACTTCCCATAGATAGTGTACCGCAAGGCCTTCCTTAGACGTGGCGAGTTATCTGTCAAAAGTCGCTGTGAGGACGAAAATGACAAGATTAGATTCCCTCATTCCAAACAGCTGCAACTATCGCAGTTGCAGTGTCAGTCTAACGGTGGGAATAAATAGGATTTGTTCTTCATCGGAAAAATGTTCCTCCGAAACAGAGTGGAGGCCATAATTTTTGTCAAAAATATTGAAGTAACCTACTCTGGCAAAGTGGACAAGAAACAGATGAATACCTGAGCGATGTAAGGGTATGCCTCATCAACAATGGCGAAGTCTGGGTTGCCAACAAGGGCTATACCCTCCAAGACACCTATGGCTCGAATGATAAGAGCAAAATAGGGAGGAATTCGAAATGGATAATCGAAGGTAATCTGAGCTAAATCGGCAGCCAGTTCCTGGAAATTGATGTTTTTGGCACCTCCACCCTCCAACGCCTGATCAAAAACTTTTGCTAGCACTGGCATAATAGGTGATAGGTTCACTCCCTCCGGAATAAAGTCAAGCTTGACAAAATCTTCTACAATGGCCTCATAGTCTCTATGAATAAGGTGGGAGATTGCTTCAATCATTCCGTACTTTTGTTGGTCAGTAATCTGCGTCATTAAACCTGCAAAAGTCAAAATAACGTATTAGTTAAAAAATTCATAAAGCGTAAAGGACCTGTTTGAAGCTTTTCTCCGGGCTGCAGACATCTACCTACCAGCCGAGTCTAATTATGCGTAACAGATGTCCAGTTAAGGCATGTGACCGATTTACAATAAACCGTAAAAGGAAGGAATTCTTTCAAAGATGTCAGAAACACATAAGACGCGAAACTTCCAAGAGAAACGCTTACCAAAATCAAGGATGGCTAATTTGCCATCTGGTGTACGAATAAGATTTCCTGGGTGAGGATCGGCGTGGAAGAAACCCGTGTCGAGAAGCTGACCAATAGCATTGAAAAGATGTCAGAGCGAGAAGAACAAACATAATTTTCAAAAACGTAACGAGCATGAGAAGCATGTAAAATCAACACGAAGCTCTTTACAGATAGGAGAGAAACAAGGAAGTCCTTGGCCAGAAATGTTCGAACCTGTTTTAAGTAACAAATAACACCAACATTCACCAGATCTCCCACATCGGAGGCAGTACTTTGAGATAGCTTTTCTCCTTCAATCCATTCAGTAGTAAGCACACGACGAGAAGTGTACTTCGTATATGTCTTTGCCACGACAACCTGAGGCAGGTCAACCTTCATTTGTTCAGCAAATCGTGTTCCGTTCTCTCCCTCGTTGATGTAATCCAGCTCCTCGAAGAAGCGAGCTGCCCATTCGTCGACAAGACCCACAACATCCGTTGCGATCTGAGAGCAAAGACAGTACATAGTGTTATTCTCAGGCAAGTCATAGTACGCCAAACACATCTGCAAGGTCCTTGCTGAATATACACAAAGAGCAACCACAATGTGCGAAGAATTGATGACTTACTTGAGGAAACCTTCTTAGGGCTACACCCAGTTTGCGAATAATGAACAGATCCACTGTTACTGTCTCTAGGACATAAGGTCGTTGAACCTTCACGGCAACAACTTCACCAGTCTCGAGGAGGCGTCCTTTATAAACCTGGCCCAATGATGCTGTACGTAGAAAGGCAAGGATGAGAAGTGCGTCCCGTTTGGACTCTCACTAGACTCTCTCGAAAGCTCAACATAAAACTTTCTTTTGAAAACTGTATGTGTTTAGCTAAACGAGAGTTCCTTCCCTGACCAAAAACCTACAAGATGACCCCAAAGTGTATGGAAATCCTTTCAACAGTGTAGTCATACATCCATCCGCAAAAGTCATGATGAACAGTTTGTCTTGCTTACCAGCAGCTATCGGAGATGGAGACAGTTCTGAGTAAATCTCTTGCCATGGCTTTCCCAGTTCTTCTTCAATCAGGGCCATTGCGATATCGTTGGGGAAAGAAGGCACCTGTTGGCAACAAAGAAACATCATCAATAATGATCTACACCAAGCAGATATAACGATCGCTAATGAACTGAGAGACTCGAAATATTCCGAAGCACCTTGTACTCTGATTACAAAAAAGGCAAAGGTTATCTCCACTAAGATATGACCAGCCTACCTATACCCAGACGTAATTCTCATTGCAAGGTGGTCTTCGAAATTAATGCTGTCGGTCCGTACCTTATCGCAGAGCTTTTGAAGCTCGGTCATGGCGCTCGGGGACAGAATGTCAGGTCTGATGCTGAGGGCTTGACCAAGCTTAATGTAAGCCGGACCCAAAGATGTAACAATTTCTCGCAGTTCGATGGCCCGCTTTACCTCATTCTGAACCATAAAAGCTCAAGGTCAGACGTGTACATAAAAAGCTCAATCGTGCTCCTTTAACATGTTTAACCACAGGCCGCAGCAATAAAATTCCCAACATACCTCTTTCACTTTTTTCGTGATTATATCCATAGCAATGCCGGAGAGAAAACCACCAGCAACTCCCAAAAGCTGGGCGATACGAGTGGCAACAGCTCCGGGTTTCTTTCCCCAATATGCAGCAATGGTCACTGGATCGTAAATGAGAGGTAGCTTTTCTTCACCATCCGCTCCACTTCCGTCAACCTGGTTAACAACTTGTCGAGATTAACTTTGACGAACTTCGATTTACAGGACCCTTGTTCAGCATGTTAGTAAGGTTCCCAAGAGCTGGATAATTATCTCCTACTTGCCGTGTGAACAAGCCGACTATAAACATTGCATGGAGCAATACGGAGTGAACACGTATATTACCTCAACAAGACGGAGTTTGGTATCCGAAGTTGCGAACTGGTTGTCAGAAAGGTTCTGACCTCGAAGTCCCCTCATTAGTGATGATAGCTGCTCATCTTCCTCCATTTGAGCCCTCACTCGCTTCATTTCTTCTGCCATTTCGCCGACTCTCTGCAATCCCCAAAACCATGTCAAAATAAGCTTCAGATGTTCCAATTCTCCAACCAAAGAATGTACAAACTTCCATAGATAGCTAGACGAGTTGCACACATAGAATCGGCTCTCGGCAGACGTGAAAGAAAGATCTGAAGAGTGTACGAACTGGACGTGCGAGTATCCATTGGCGCCTCTTTCATCTTCTTAGATTTCACTCAATGACGTCTATGTGACTGATTCCAAAATCCTCGACTGTCAAACATAATTACTGTCTAGATGGTAACTGCATGTCGTAAAAACAACATTCTAAAGCCGATACCCTTGCTGGTGGTGACAGAAGGGAAGGACAGGAACAAGACAGATTATGCGTGACGAAGGTATTGTTCCCGAAGAGCTAGATCGGGTGATGTGCAAAGGGATGTAAAGAGAAGCAACAATTGTTTGTCCAGCTATCATAATTGTAACTATAAAATTTCCGGGGCCCAAACCAACAAGCCCCCACATAACAAACTTCCAGGCCTTCCTCATTGATGACAAACACGCGACCATCCGATCTTAAGCAAACAGCTAGCAGAAGAGTAAATTGCTCCCGTTGGACGGGTGCTCAAGATTGACAAGTAAAAGATCGCCTGTAAGAGGAGGAGAAGACAGTATACCATGGAGCGATTGCGGGTGACCTCCTTCTCAGCTGCGGTGATGACTCCTGAAGAGCTTTTGGTAGCTACAGCCCTCACATTCAGTCTCAATGGTCTGCGAATCGGCTCCAATCTGGGAATGCCTTTGACAGACACGCACTCTCCACTAAAAGGCTTTTGAAGAGCCATTTGGGCCACCACTTGGGCCATCTTTTCTCAAAACTTCCGACCAGAATAAAATCCTTGCCTACTGAAAATAACAAGCCTCACTCCCTACTTGTGGGGAAATCAAAACAATTCGACCTGCTGCAGACGCGACTGCACTCTCACAGGCGCTGAGAGCCGACGAAGAGCAATCGGACCACCCCAGCTCTCCAGACGGTGTGTCAGATGGACTACAGCCTATGTTCTTCTCTCACTCCCCTACTTTTCATCGTCTATCTGAATAACGCCTTCTCTATACAGCTCCGCCCCGGGAGGCCGCACCGAATTGGTCTGCACGGACAAACGAATCCAATGATGTGTAAATTGCCTTTTGTTCTCGTCATCGGATATCATTCCTCACTCGCAGACAGCACTAAGCACACGAGTAACTCGTTAGCGCAAGACGTCGAGCTGATTGCACCCTCCGTCCCAGAGGCGAAGGGTGCGGCCATCTAGCAATGCAGTCCTTATCAGTTCAGACCTCCAGTGCAACACAAACAAGACAAAACCCCAATGCGGTGTTCAAAGTCCGACCCAAGCCATTAGACTCGACTCGCTCCTTTGACCGAGAGCTTATAATTCCAGCCCGAAAAGTCAGCAGACCATAATTCCGTCGAAATACATCCAACCGGCCACAACCCCCATCGTAATAATCCCAACACAGTTACTTACATTTGCTGCCGTCAGTCAGTGGGAGGGTATCAGCCGCTGGACGGGCTTGGTCTTAGCTGGGCTGGGCTGCAGTGGCCGTGCGCTTGCACGAGCGTCGACACGTTCAATTCTCCGCAATAGCTCACAGGCTCGCACACGATACAGGAGAGCAAATCCCAGGAGATGCTGCAGAAGGAAGAACAGTGCTCGGCAAATATACCAACGACTTGCTCCTGCCTCGCTTACAACTCGACGACCACTCTGAACAGCGACCCACTCAAGCATTCATTGCTCCCGTCCGCAGCAACTAGCACTCCATGTCCCGAAAACACCAAAACCGCCAGCGACTGTGCGGATTTGTTTATAGATTCGCCCGTAGTATACTCCCCACGAATGGGCCTCGAGGGAGAGAGGGTGTACAAGGCTCGCTCGCTGCCTGCAGCGAGACCGCGCAGAGGCGGAAGATCGAGCGAGGGGGTGGTGTGGAACGGTGGGGGCCTGGGCGTCCACGACCGAATCGATCGGAGGAAGGGAGACGGACAGCGGGCCGGGGGGGCTAGCGAAGCCCAAGCCCAAGCAAGCCCAAGCCCGCTCAGCCCCCCAGTCGAAGACGAGAGACGGACCACGGAGTCAGTGTAGAGCGCAGCGCCTGCCACGTGAGAGTGAATCTCTTTCCTTCTTCGAATGCTGCCACGTGGATCGTGACTCCGTCGTCGCCCTCGGTCCTTTCAGTTGTAATATCCGGACGGGCGGCTCGCCACCTTCGCTCGCCTACTCCACTCGTTCCAACCCAGTTCTCCTTCCACCATTGACGCCTCGGTTCGAACCCACCTCATACGCTCTTGTACGACCCATAGTTGTACAGTATTGGGGTCGTCGTGCGGTTAAGCCAACTACGGTTTCGACAATCGCGTGACCGGCGAAGGGAAGAGCCCAGTGGGATTTGTTTCACATGGTCCGTGTGCCTGGTACGAACATCTCCCTGGTCAGTTTCAGACAGGCCCATGGGATTTCATGGCGGGCACGTCTACTTTTATAATGCTTTCATATGTTACCTACCATAGAGATTGCACAATCTTTAAGTTTTCTTGTCAGAATACTGCCACTTTTAACTGATTTACGTTTTATATATATATATGTAGAAGCAACAAGCTTTTATGGTGTGCGGTGTGATAAAGTTGGAAATCAAGGTTACAAATCTTTTGGATGGCGAGGCCCCGTAAGTATGAATCAGTTTTGATCTTAAAACTGAAGGTAAGTAATTATGATGATATAAGACAAAGTGGTGTATTGCTCTCTCGTTACATTTTTTAGGATTTGGCAAAAGTCTACCTTTTTTTTATATTTTGACTCCCTTATTCGGACCACGAAAAGATGTTGTAATGTGTATTCTTTTCTGAGATCCTGTTAGGTTCTTAATGTTACATGATAGTAATTTATTTGTTACAAAGCTTTGCATTTATATCTCAGTCTTAGTTCACAAGCAAACAATTATCGAAATCTAGTTATTGACTTTCTATTATGCAATATATGAAATTGTGATATCTTCAGTATTATTTGAAACAAGCTCTTCATTTCCATGTTAATGATTTTACAAGTGCATAAACGTTTTGAAAACTTCAACAAATGAAGTCATGTGAATTACCGTATGAATTGTAACTCACATTTATTTACACAGATAGGAAACATTTATTGAAAATAAATCTTATCAAGAAATCATCTTTCATTTGTAATCTAATTAAAAAAATTGGAATCAAATACAATTTTAAGGTTGACGTAACCATCAATTTAATTATTTTATGATTAAATTGATGGTTAAATATAAAAATATGTAATATAAACTCAGGTTAAATTATCTTAATTTGTAAATATATATATTTCATATATTCCATATATGTTATAGATACACATGTAGCAAAATGATAAATTCATCAAGTAGTAGGTGATGTTTTCAAAAAAAAAAAAATTATTTTTGCTGTTTCTTTTCAGCTGAATTTTTTGAAAATATTGTTTTGAGCAAATTGAAACATATACAAATTCCATTTTGTGCAAGAAATAATAGTTGAAATTCAATTCAATAAATAAATTTTTCTAATTATCAGAAATAATTTACTTCTTATCATTGATATAGCGAGATTACTCTGTTACACAAACAAATGTGAATTTTGCTTCACAATTAGTTCAATTTATTTGTTAATACCTTACAAGAAATTGGCATCAATACTTTAGAACACAATGTACACATAATCTTTTACTTTCTTCCTCCTTCCATCTCCTCTTTCACTCAAAAACACAACCAGCGGTCTCCTCCTTTTCCACTTTCATATTTTTTGCCTTCTGATCATCGTCAAGAGAACATACTACTTCCGTTTGTAAGTCATGTGATGAAAACCTTCCTCGCCTCACAAAGAAACAAAAAAACCTCAGCTTCAAAAACACTTGATGATGACTACTCACTCTGCAGTCCGTGCGCATAATTTTTTAACTTACTTTATGGAGCTAGTTTGTTTATTTTATTAAGTTTTTGGGCTCACATTTTGTAAATGTGAAAAGCACATTGAAATTATTTTTAAATGCATGTATAATAGATTTTTAATAATTTATTTATATATCTAATGTTTGATGCAATTGATACTTTAATTTTAAATGAAATTTGTAAATCTCTAACTATCTATTGTAACAATACTTTCATTATTGTATTAGAAAATGTCCGGAATACAATTCAAAAAAACAATAAATTATCATGACATTATTTTTAGCAATTCAATCAAAACTTGTAGATTTCTTAATAAATAACACATATGTTATTAAATAATTATGTATTAAAAATAATAATTGTTTTTAATGATTAGTAACTAAATTTATCTATTATATATACTATTATTTATACTAATTTTATTTAATATATTCAAAAAATTTAATGAGACACAATACACTTGACTAAATTTTATTTTTATGTAAAACTAAGCGTTGATCATTATTATTTCACTATTTGATAATATTTATATGAAACATATATTTTTTAATATCACATGTAATTAAAATACTAATTATGTTTTTTATATATTTTATAACATAGTTTAAGGCTCGAGTAATATCAGTTCACACAAATGATGTCTTTAAGCTAATTTCTACAATCTACAAAGGGCATAGTGTTCTTTGCATCTCCATAACTCACAAATATTTTACATGTTTTGCAGTATCATGATTTGAAAAATTGAATTTTCTGAAATTTGAGTGTGCATAATTCACATATCTGCACCAAGAAATCTGGAAATAATTTATTTATTTCAAAATAAAATACAATTTTCATTATAATTTGATTCAACAATTTTTTGAATGTATAAATTTTGTTATATAAAATGAATGATTTTTGAAATTTTCCAAATTTTAACAAACAAGTGAAATTGCTCAAATTTATTATATCATAAATTAAATAATTTTAATTTAAAAAATAATTTAGAAAAAAATAATGATTTTTTTTATTTATTTGTAATTTTTTTATACAACACTATTATTTTTACTACATTAATAAATTTGGATTTCAATTTATTTTAATTTTATGAAATGTTATTAAAAAAACATAAATTTTTTTTCCATAATGTTGATGAATTTAAAAAATTACTATGTGTGTAACATTAATTTAAATCTTGTATGTTTTATTTTTAATAAATTTAAATTCCAAATTCATAATCGTTAATAAATAATCTAGTGAAAAAAATTCAAATCTTAATATATATGTAGATATATAATTTTTTAACGGATTATTATGATATATACTTATAAAATTTTGAGTAATTTTTTTAAATATTAATTTAAAATTAAAATCAATCAATTTAGTCTTTAATATTTTAAATTAAGATTATTTCAAAAAAATTAATTGTATTGAATTGATATAATGTAACATTATTTGAATTTATAGCAATACTTAAGAATTTTACTTTAAAAAATATGGGTTATATTTTGTCAAGTCTAACTACTTGAAGTGGGGTTAAGCATGGTATTATATTATGAAAGTTATAGTTTTTTTAGTGAAATTAAGAATTAAAATTTATAAGTTGACTAATGTGAATTTTTTAATATTGAAAAAATGTTAATAAAATAAATCACATGTTTTTTATGAAATAAATATGATAGGCAATTGAGTCATGGCCCGGCGAGCCCATGCACACGAGTTGTAACTCTGTGACGTGAACTTCACAAGGTCTTCTCATGAACGGGGATTTCAGATAAGAGTATTCTAATATGCTCGATTACATTTGGTCCGCTCATGCCAAGTAGAAAACGTACCATTCTTTATGGAAACGGAGGAAAGATCTGTGACTCTGCACCCTAAACTTCACAAATTTTTCTGATGAAATGTGGCATAACAAAATCATGTCAAAAGTGTTCAATTATAGAGTAATTATTGTGCAAGTTTGAGTGTTATATATGTTCATAACCAAATGTTTGTCTTATATATTCGACTTGATTTACAATGGATGTTGAAGTTAATCTTATGCATTTAGATGATATACGTAATACTTTTTATTATTTTTTATTAACTTTTTCATAAGATAATTAATTTCTTGGAAACAAATTTGATATTTTGGATTTTAAAAATCATACTTGTTCAACTTTAAAGTTATATTTATTCACTAATCATATTGATATGTGATATATAAAATATTAACTTATTAAAATATGATATTCAAAAAAAATTGAAATTATATGTTTATATTCAATGTTTGAATATACAACATATAATTATAGATAATCAGAATACACAAATATAAACATTCATATATGCTTTACAACAATAATATATATAATAAAATTAATATTATTAGATCTTGATGATTTGATATGTTTATTTTATTTCACTTTTAAATATTACAATAAACAAAATCAAAATAAACAAATGGTTTTTGATTTTTTTTAAATGAAGATTTTCACATTTTTGAGATTGAATTGATTTAAAATTTTGTGAAACTATGTATTTTATAAATATAAAATAATTTTATTATAAATATTATATTCATTAAAAAAAATTAATATATATATTTTAGCTTGTAATGATAATGTATTAAATTTTCATAATCTCAAGGTTGTAAGTCATCATCTCTTTATCAACATATAGAAAAAATTTATGACATTTTTACGTATTTTAGCTTTTAAAATATTCAAAACTTTAACTGCAAATTCAAATGTGTGAAGCTTATTTCACATAAATAAATAAAAAAATCCTAAAATTGTAGGTTTTTTTTTTCCATATGCAACTAACTTTAAAAGTTATATATTATCATACATTTTAATTTATAGTTTGATTATTAAAACCTACTTTGCTTTTGATAAACTTAAAGAAATTTCATATTGATATAAGTATTTTTTCACTTACGTATATATTAAAAATTTTGAATTTTACAATTATAACTATGCATATAAGATAAATGCATAAACAAATATTAATTTTGAATGTTTATGTCAATTTGAAATCAAAAACATTCTACATGTTCTTGATAGTTTCAAAGTAAAATGAATAGCTTTGACATCACATTTTAAACTATAGATAGTTTATATGCCCAATTTATGTTATCAAAGTTTAAAATTTAGCTGTAATTTTCTCTGAAATATGAAGGTCAATCTCATTTAATTCCTCTATATGCATCAACTCAATCTTGTTGTAGCTATAATTTAAATTTTTATATATATTTAAAATCTGATCGAGTTGCATTTGTTGAAATTCTAAACAAGATGCATATAAAATTAGTCCAGTAAATTTTCAATGACTTCAAGATTATTCATGATCATTTGAAAAAAAATTAATTTTAATTTTTGAATTCCATAAAATTGTATGATGCAATGCTCAAATGCAACTAAAAATCTTACATATATTTATCATTATGATTTATCAAACATATCAATTTATCATATTTATAAAAATATTAATTCTTTTAAAATATAAATTGTCACATTAACTTAATCAATTAACAAGACCTCATCCTATTAATAGCTACATGAAAGCTTGCTTCATATCAACAAATTCCAATAATGATTAATTTGTTTTCATAATTATGTTTTTTTTTATATCTTAATACACAATCTCAATTTTGTACCATGATACATTGAAAATGAAATGAATAGTATATGTTGATAATTGACTTGAATAAACTCTAAAAAAATAAAATTTACGATTCGATTTGTGTTTTAAGTGTAAATTCAAATCTGATTTAAGCTTTTGTTTTGATATATATATTTATTTGTACTTATAAGAAATTTGAGAACGTGAAAAGTTGACAACAGAGTAAATTTTATCATCAAAGTTATTTAAAAGGAGATTTGTAAGTAATATTATAGTAATCCATTGATTTTTAATGACAAGCACAAGTAGATTATACTAATGATTTGATATGTGATTTTACTCTATCATTTTTTAATCTATTAGGTTTTACTATTCTATCTCTTCTAATACTGAATTGTAGTATGATGATTTAGCAAATAAAAGAATTGATTGCATTTATTAATAACACAACAATGAAGTCTTCATTAAAATTAATTTTGTTATACTTAAATGTAAAGCATTGCATTTTGTTAAAATTTTGATGAATCTCATGAATTATCGAATTTCCTGTCACACCACTTAATGATTGATACAAGTCACTAATTAAATTTTATGATATTTAGTTTATTTTTAAAAAAATTTCATTTAAATATAAATAAATAAATTAACCAAATTTTAATTTCATGTATTTGTATGAGCATTGATTTTATTTTATAATAAAATCAGAAATTTTAACTTGTATTTTAACAACTTTTTTGTCTACTATGACAAAAATTGTTTCTAAAATTATTTGTGATATATTATTTGTAAACATAAAGTTTTCAATTTAGTTTTAAGAGCATTAAAATAATATACATATGTATGTAGATTTATGTATACATGTTATTAATTTATAACATGTTTAAGTTAAATGTTCATACATAATTATACATGATGATATAATTTAGCTTCAAAAATTGATTAAAAAAATTATGTAAAATTGATTTGAAATAAAAATTAAGATAAATTTAAATGACAATTTGAAATTTTTCACAAAAATTTATAAATAACATATGAAATATATTTATCTGAGACCTTTTTGACAATTTTGATGAGTTTTTTATGTTGAAAAATTTCAAAGAAATTTATAATATATAAATCATATATACAAATCAATATTTCCCTTGTTTAATTTAAATAAGTATATTTATATGTAAATCAACTTGTATTTCATATCGTTTTGATTATTTTACTATAATCCACATAGACTAAGCAATTTTTCACATGTGTGATATACAAAATGTTAACCGTAATAAAATTCAATAAAACATGTCATTACAACTTAATTAAATAACATATAATTTGAAGAGTATTATTATTTTGAAATTTTTAACAATGCGTTGTAATAATATTTTATAAACAACAACAAAATTTTTAACATCTGAATTATATTAGTAAATTATTTTGTACACTTAATAATGTTTATGATAATCATGAATGTAGTATTTTGTTGTTATTCTTGCATTATCAATTCTTGATTCATTACCAATTCAATGTATAATCATTAATTTATAAAAGATGTCATTGTTAAACATGATCTATTTTAATCAGCAAATTTCATATCTCACAAGTTTTATATATTTATCAAGGTTTAATAATTATATGGACAAAAATTCATAATTAGATAAATAATACATGATTAGACTCTTAATCAATCATCTTAATTTTCTCATGTATTAAATCCTATATGAAAGATCTAAATAGAAAGCACATAGATAAAAAAATATTAAAAATACGTAAAGTTTCAATATCAAAAGTAAGATTGGTAATTAATATCTGGGATATTTGTATTAACACACAAATAAATGACAGAAATTATTTAATCATTTCATGCAGAGAGTTAAATGTAGTAGAAAATATTCATATTTGAAAAGAATTTTTTTTTTCTACTATTTATGCAATTCTTCTTACATATCATTATTAAATATAATACTTCATGTTTTGATAAAATTTTAAGTATCAGACTTCTAACTTGTTTAGTATACATTCTTACTGAGTAAATTATATAGCTCTATATTTGTCACAAATAATATGAGCAGATTCTGCTATGTTGTGTATTGTATGCAATAATGAAGAAAAATTTGGACCTTTGTTCATGAAATGAAGAAATACAACAAATTCTTCTACTGGCATACTTATTTCTATTGAGTCTCAAATGAAAAGAATTATTGTAAAAGGAGACTGTATTAAATTATTTAATAATTAATTATTACATGTAGAATCTTAATCTGTTTGAAAAATTATTTTGAAAATCCTTAAAGAATTTAGAAAAATGAATATTGTATTTAATATTACATTTTATATCAAAATTTGAATATTTCCAAATAAATAATTACTGTATGTATATATAAACAAAAAGATATTCCTGATTATTAAGTATAATTATTTTTTAATTCATTTCTATCTAATCTAAATATTTACTATATTGAGTTTACAGCCAAGATTTAGTAATTACAAACGGAATTAATAATTTAATTTAAATATAATGAAAAACGAAAATTTGCAAGTATCTTATATTACAAATTTGTATTGAAATTCCAAGTAAATTATCTAATATCATAAAAAACATATAATTGGAAAGCTACGCACATACCACGAATTTAAATTGAAAACATTACATATAATCTAACGAGAGTTAAGGTCTTGAGATTTTATAGACACGTGATGTAAAATTAAATATATTGATTGGTTCAAGATTCCATTTTTTATGCATAAACACTTATCGAATCAATACATAAATATAAGATTGGTCATGCGCAATGATACCAGAATAACTTTCCTGTCAACTTCATATCACATGTACAATTTGGTGTTTAGTTGAGGCTACAACAAATTTGAAATGTGTAGCATCGAGACGAAAGGGATTTAAATACCAGTATCTCACTCCTTTTAGAGGTGCCACTAATCACCTCTACTTGATTAGCTCTCATGGTACAAACCGGTTCCCACAAGCCCATACCGCTTTAACAAAACCAAACCGTCACCATTTCCCAAGCACGCTAGCCCTAATCTGTACACTCTGATATCGGAGAATATAACAACGCAATCCTTTGAAAGGTGCCAGGCTGTACCACTTATTGATCAGCTCTCATAGTACATCCCGCTTCCCAAAAGCCCATGCCGCTTTGGCAAAACCAAAGCGGCAAGGGCTAACCCTAACCTGTAAACGCTGACATGGGAAAGATAATCTTCAGTCATGGGCGAGACCCATGAATTTGTCCATGGGCGAGACGCCCCGTCGGAACTTCGGGTAACTGTACTTGTAATGTACTCATTTCCTAAATCAATTTTCAAATTTGTCCTCTGATAAAGAATATTTTTCAAATCTATTTAAAGAAAGTGATAACTAAAATGGTGTAAGGAAACTAGAAATGCCTCTGCTACGGAAGGGCCCTTTTCAAGTGATTCACAAACCTTTCTCTCGGCACATAGAAAGTGAACACGTTGAGAACAATATTTGATGCCAAGCAAGATCTATACTGATCACAGCACTGCACATTATATGGTGAACCTGCCATTTATTAGGGTTTAAGGTTTAAAACGCAATAATACCTCGTATCGAGGCGTTACACCCTGTAGCACTTTCAAAAATATAAAACAAGCGTGTAGCTAACTCCCTGAGGACAATCGTAATCGTTATTGCAAACAAGAAGAGACGAAGTGACACTTCGCTCTCAATTAGTCCTGAAGCATCTGATGTACATTCTCTTAATACCACAATCTGCTGCAGGACTCGAGATCGGCTTAGATCTGGTAAATCAAAGATCACATTCCAAAGCTCCGAAGAGTCTTGTGGAAGAATGCATCATGTCGGACGCGGTTCTTACAAGGAAGCTGTTCTACTCGTTCTAGAATATCTAGCGCGGTTCTGACTTATTTCTGATTCTAAAAATGGCCAGGTCAATATACAAGTCCAAAAGGCTAGTTTCCCTGTAGCTTTTAATCTAATCGTCCCGCTACATTTATATGACCGGACAATTAAATGTTCTTAGGTCAAGAACTGCAGCTTGACTGCAGAACCAAGAACAACTTCATGCAAAAAATGTATGAAGAACAAACTTTCGGCCTAAAACACCCCGGTCTGGCTTTTTAAAAACGAGTGGAGCTTGGACCAGAGCCGATGCTCTCCAAGTCCAGTCACAAAGGTCAATCTTTCCACAGCAACTCTCTACATCATAGTTTTATCTTTGCAAGGAGAGCAATATAGCAACTCAGAAGTTAAAGGCAAGATAATACTACTATCCACTGTCTCATCCACTACATTGATGAAGATTGCTTGCAAAACAGCGGTTTCCGCGAGCAATTCCAGCAACTCCTTAGAGTACTCTCAAGTAGAAACTAGGGCATCATGTTCAAAGGCAAAAGACGAAACCCTAGACACCAATCGAAACCCAAAAAACTAGACAGTGTTGTTTACTTCATAACTTACTTCAAAGCCTTGTGTGGGCAGTTCCTTCGCTCCCACTGGCACCCACGGGTTTCATCCCGGAGGTAAACTTTACGCAAACTTCCTCAACGAGCTTTCCGCAGTCTCGCAAGAGCAGTGTATCTGGCAAGAAATCCGAATCCACGTAGTAAGCAAGAACTGGTGTTGAAAGCTAACGAGAAGCTACCTGGCAAGAAAGGAGCTCTGTATCCCATCCATACCTACTATGGACGGCCATATTTCCTTCCACAGTTGTCTTTCCAAAAACTCAAGGCTCTGTCTACACGATCATGAATATGCTTCAGCATAGGAGGAAGCCAGAGTCTCGTCTTGAGTGTGCATCTAGCGCATCCTGTGTACACAAAGAAAAAGATGAAATATTGAGATGGTAATTTACGATCACATGCGTACATTCTTGCATACATCAACTTAGCCTGCTGAGGAGATTCAATACAGCCGTTTTTTTGAATATAGTACACAAATATATTATCTCAAAACATCTCTAGAATGTGCCAAAATTGCTCAAGCTCATAGCATTACATACATGCTATCTAGCAGACATTCGAAATCTATTCAGAACGAGTTGACACGGTCTGCATACTGCAGAACAAGCGCCAAAGTTCCCTATCGAGATAAGCAGTTATTGGGGGGTGGGGGGGGTGAATTGAACAACTACAGCTGTAAGATAAAATCTCCACAAATTTCTCGTAAGTCTGTAAATCTTCATACACTTGTCTTATCTTGAACAACTAGCTCACGCGGGCATCTCCAGTCTAGTTTATTTCACTTGCTGGCAATGAAAAAAGTATCAATTTCTTCATATTGATAATAGGCGGACATGGGAAGGCATTGTCTGATCTGTAATCTAAATACAACGTGTACCAAGAGCCCAAACGCTTCGTTACTTGCAATCCCCACCAAAAATTCACAAGAAGCAAGAAGTTGTTCGAGCTTTGATCCTGAGAACTACAAATTGCGAAATGGTCAAAAACAAAAGTAGGGCTGGAGCAATCTACGTCGATTCGAGCCGAGGTCTTCCTAACAACAACTGAGGCCTTTAGAGTACATCCTAATCACTATCCTACTGGAGCATCACTCAAGCTAAGCTTCGAAACCTCGAATATTGGAACATCCATTTGCTGCGGAGTATCAGAATTGACGGCTTGGTTCACGTGATCATTCAAGCTCAGTCTTGCAACGATGTCAGCTGCGGAAGACGCCGCAGAATTCTGTCCCTCATGCGCCCATGACTGATCAAGATCTTTAAACGACTTGAACTTCAGAGGTTCAAGATCTTTACAGATATATAATTCTTTCTGGGCATCTGCTAGACTCTTCATCTCAGCCTCGGCCACCTGACGATACCAGCGCCTGTGACATCCGAGATGTCGCAAGTAACGACCTGGCCTACCAAAGTTGTGACCTCGCCCGACAACAGATCTTCCACCTGAGCTCCCTGAAATATGACAACTCGCCTGTTCAGATCCCAAAGTTGAAGAACCTGGAATGTCTGCGCTCATAGCCCTCTTCCGAAGCCTGTTTCCCCGGCTCGGGGCGGGCTTAAACCGATGCAAGCGATCACCAAAACGGGCGTGAAAGTGGTCGCTGAGGCTCCGTGAACGAGTGCACAATCCGAATCGATCATCGCCCTCGACAGGCGGATTTCTATGCAGAAGCCTGTGGGCAGTCCGTCCGCGAGGCCAACTTCGGGAAAGCTGCATCATCCGCTGTACAAACTCTGCATGGTTCCTGCACACGTCCTGCTCCGACGCCTCGGAAGCCTCGGGCTCGGAACACACAACCATGTTCGGAGTCGAGGGCAACGATCCCTCATCCAAATCAACGACGAGATTGTGATCTATGACCACATAATCATCGCGTTGCTTATCATCTGCCTCGAACCGCATACACGCCGATTGCTCCTCGCTTTTGCACCTCAGTCGCCTCTCTCTCGGCCTAAACATAAAACCCCAACCCAATCAATCATCGACTCGCCTTCCCGAATTCCCCCACGGTTCCTTTCAAAATTGCCTTCTCCAATGCCCTCCCCACTCGACGGCCGCTCCCCTTTCACAGCTTCCGCGCACCACCACCTGAATACTCAAAATTGCATCTGCTCCTGCACGCCAAGGCTCGTGGTTTATACACACCAAATGTCCGCGCTCCACCGCCCCAAGCTTCAGTAATGCGGTTGCCTTTCAGGTGATGCGTCAAGGTCGAGAAGCAGGTGATGCCGCAAAGCGATTTGAAGTCTGCGACACGTCAATGCACGGTCCGCCCCTCGGACGGCCCCTCGAACTTGCCCGTTATTCATTGCTTGTCAGCTGGCGCGGGGGGCGAGGCCTTACCTGCATCCGTCAGTCAGAGCCTCTTCTCCGCCCCATTGCCCTCTGCATTTCTGACCTGGAACATGGGCTGTAGTGGGTACCCTCACTTGCCCACTATCCCGTTCGTCAGGCTTTTGACCTGCCACAGGTGGTGTGAAACCCCGAGCGTTTTCCCCCGAATCTGGCCCTCTCCCTCTCCCTCTCCCTTCGATCGTATTTACATGAATCCCATCCTTTTGGATATGTTGCTTCGTGACCCCGTTTCTCAACTTGCCCATGGGAGATGGGCTCACTCGCCTCACCTTTCTCGTTTCATCAACGTATCTGTTTAATGGATTTTAGTGGAATCGGAGTAAAGTGAATCGCTAGCCATTGCTCATTTACATATAGGTGTTTGAGATGTCTCATGAAAGTGGATACCTCCTTTGTAATGAGTACAGTATTGGGATGCATCTATTTACATTGTTGTTAGCATGGATATAATCTTAATGCATGCATACCAAGTTACAGAAGTGGAGATGGTGATGACTGATAAGTACAAGTGACAATATCTCACACTGTGTGACTATCCGTTGAGCTTCATGGGATGTGAGTGGGAAAGCGAAATCCAAAGTCTTGAATTATAGGTTATTGACCATATCCATCCTTTTGGTTTTAAGAAAATCAGGTCAAATATAGCTAAGGATGATAATATCCATATGTTTGTGAACGAATGACCTAAAGACCTAATCCTGTCGCCTCGTAAATGGTCTTTAGGTCATTTGGCGACAAGATTACAAAGATCTTGTCGACAAGATCTTGGCGACAAGATTACAAAATCTCAATTCTGTAATGTAGACTTTTTTAAAAATTTGTTTTCATTACTATACACATAACATGAGCTAATGTTCTGCATAGACGAACAATCACATGATGTGAAACCAAGTCGAATCAATATTTGGACATCATTCGCTGATATATCAGGCAGATTAGAGTGTTTTAATACATATTTCTTATGGGGATCTTTTTTGATTTTACCTTTGATAATCCATTAAATTTCATTCTTGTCAAATCTAATACCATCTATCCATATTTTTAGACTATTCATCTAGAAGACATAACCTATTACAAAGAAAAATCAATGTCAAAATATGAAAAATAATCACCTATTACATATATGTTATTACTAAAAATACAGATTTTTTGGAAAAAGGGATCTATACCAATAAACTCTTGATTTACATATGAATCAAAGTTGACACTTTCTTGAATATCTACAGAAATAAAATAATATATATTAAAATAAAAATGTAGAATATTGAAAAAGTTTGAAAAAAATAAAAATAAAAGTGTAGTTTTTGAAAAATTACGCATTTTATTATTTATCGTATACCTCGGAAAAAATTTTAGCTTTAATTTTTTCATTCATTTAATTTTATACCAGTATATGAAATATTATCTCATATAATCCAGTTATTAATTTATTGAAATACAAAAAAATGTTGAAGACATACAATATAATGGAAGTGAAATTGTTGGAAGTATATTTCATTTATTCTAAGTTCTGATGATCTGGTTTTAATGTATGCAATATTAAAAAAATATATAATATAAATTTCATTTGTATATAATTATATATATATATATTAAAAAATTTACTAATATATTGATTTCAATACAAATTCTTTTGCTTTGAAGTTATGAATAGCTGTTCTTTTAAGAATACAGTCTTGAATTTAAACATTTTAAAGTATATATTATTATTAAATCCCTTATTTGTGATATTAAAACATCTAACTTATATTTTATCGACTTGCATAATGCGCAAGTTTGATATTTTAGTTAAATTTAATAAAAAATTTAAATTTTGTTTAATATACAAAGATTGTAGTACATGAATATACTTACATTGATTTAAATTTTTATATCCAAAAAGTAAAATGCAACAAATTATAAAATATATATCCCATACATTTTTTGAACATGAAAATGCCTCAATCCTTAACATCAAAGGATTGAAGGCTCAATTTACAAGAATTTTACAAGGCTCAATTTGCTTTCATCTACTGTAGATATATTTATTAAAAAATAGTTTTATTCAGATTTTGATTATCTCGTTTTAATTTGCAAATATATATTTTTCTGTTTTTTTATCAAATTTATATTGACTAATTGTGAACATAAATTTTCAACAATATTTTTTTTAGTCATGATTTAACTTAATTTTGTTATCATTTGAATAATCATATGATTTCTATATACAAGTTGATACATGTTTCTTAGCATCAAGTAATTGTATGTTAAGCCAATAAATCAATGAAATTACAACTAGATTGATTGTGTATTGTAGAATTGAAACAAAAATATGAAGATAATTTGGCGTCTATTTAGTATCAAGTGAGCCTGTATTTAAGTTTTGCATTTGGACAATTTTGTCTTAAGCTTTTGGATCCAATTTTTAGAATGTGAATTAAGAGTAAAAAGGTGTTAGTATTAGAATTTGAACACAAAGGATGAGCTTTTCAATGGTATATTGTGTACTAAAATGTAGTATCTGTATATTGATGTGATTTAGTATACTTAAGTTAGTAGCTTGTGACAATGGCTCGTATATGTTGAATGGAAATATATGTATACGTTGAATCTAGTTACGTATATCGACAATGAAAATCTGTTCACAATAAGTTTCCAATGATAGCAAGTTTTTGTAATATATTTCAACACTAGTAACATCATATATAATTATATTTTAATAATATATTCTCTCTTTGTTACACTGCTTTTGCCAAAAATGATGATTGATTTATATTTATCTGACGTTGTCATTAACTGTTATTCTTTTATATTATTCTGCCTTTTTTACTCTTCTATAGGAGAAACAAAGTTCAAAATCACATGAAAATAAACTATTCATCATGAGTGCAAATTTTCATTTATTTATTTTCCATCATATAACTCATCATATATTGTACATTGGACATAGAAGATTAACAACTCTGGTAAAATAAAAAATCAGATGTAATGAATGTTCATACCACAGCACTTCTATCTAATAAATTCCAAATTTAAAAAAGTCTGTACATGTACATTTCAGGAAGAATTTTCCATGATTATACACAGAAATGTGTATATTGATGAGTGGAGGCAAGGCAAACTTGTAGAAAACGCTAATAGCAGGTCACTTGTCGTTCAAGATTTCGTCTAGGCTTCATTGACAAGGCACTCTAGACAGGACGAAGAAATAATGCTCAACAACCTGAACGCCACCGTACATTTGAAGAACTCGGAGCTCGTAGCTGCTCCAAAGATGACATTGAGAATGGACTTCAGGATCTGGAAATAATAATGGCGAGCAAGATAGGAATGGATGAGTTTTATCCGAGGGGTTAATTGTTAGGGTTTGGTAAGGCCCCGACGTGACGAGGAAGGAAGAGGGGGTTTAGTGGAGAAAGTCGAGTTTTGGGAGGAAGCTCTTGCGCCCGGGCGAAGGTCATGTGACAGCCGGTCGTGGGGCCTAGGGCATTGTTGGAGGGCCAAGCGAAAGAGTATCGCGACTTGCTGGGGCAAGAAACGAGTGCTCGGGTCGCGGCAGTATCGCGGACATTGGCCGGTCTGGACTTCGGGACATATGTGGGCGAGGAGTCGGGGTCGAGCGAATTTTGCATGTCTAATTTGGAGCTCGGTGATTTAAGCGGTTGGGTCGGATCCAGTCGTAGGGTACGTCTGCAGAATCTCCTGAAAGGGATTGCGCTGAAGCGTGCACTTTTCGTCGATTGTACGCGAGGCCCGTGGATCATGTTGCCGTTCATGATAGTGAAAAGCTGAATTTTCTCTGATCTGCAGGGGCAGGTCGCGCAATTGATTGGTGCGTTGCAGGGCGGCACGTTCTCCTAGTCCTCTGCTGATTGCTGTCTCTGCTGCCGCTCGTGTGATTGAGGACCTCGGTTTGTCCCTCTACGGTACTCGAGGGACATCTCCTGGTTTATACGCGGTAAGATTCACAGCTTGTGGCAAATTACCAACCAAATTGGATGATTTACTGAGGCAGGAGTGGGAAATTGTTGTTTTCTGTCCGTTATATTTTTTTTGCGAGATACTGTATTGTGGATGAATTTCAGTGTTTGCATAGTGGATCGCCCGATCGGTGAAGAAACTGGCGCCAGTGTTGAAGTTGCGTGCTGACTTCCACTTGAAATTAGGGTTTGAGAGTTCAATCTGAAGACGTAATCTGTGATGTTTTAGGTGCCATCTTCAGTCTCTGTATATTTGTAAAGTCAATCGCTTGAGGAGGCACGCCATGCCGACCGTGAGTGTTAAGTGGCAGAAGGTGACTTTCCCAGCTGTGGAAATAGACACCGATCAACCTCCTTATGTGTTCAAATGCCAGCTCTTTGACCTGACGGGTGTTCCGCCCGAGCGACAAAAAATTATGCTGAAAGGTGAGCTTCTCAAGGATGATGGTGACTGGGGTAGACTGGGTGTGAAAGATGGGCAAAAGTTGATGATGATGGGAACAGCAGATGCCATCCCAGATGCCCCGAAGGAGAAACCAATATTTTTGGAAGATCTTCCCGAAGATCAACAGGGTAGTCATGCCACCGGCTACACAGCAGGACTTGTAAATCTGGGTAACACTTGCTACCTTAATTCCACGTTGCAGTGTCTACACACTGTCCCGGAGTTGAAAGGAGCTTTGCAGAACTATTCTGCTTCCATGAGCACCGATACGGACTTGTCATCGCACAACCTCACCTTAGCAACGCGGGATCTTTTCCAGGAGTTGGATCGTAGTTCGAACGCTGTCTCGCCCTCCAGGTTTTTGACAGTTTTGCGGAGCAAGTTCCCGCAATTCTCTCAGCAGGACAATTCTGGAATGTACATGCAGCAGGACGCGGAGGAGTGCTGGACGCAGTTGGTTTACACTCTTTCCAAGGGTTTACGTGTTCCTGTTGATGAAAGCAAAACATCTGAGGCTACGGTCAAACATTTGTTCGGTATTGATCTTACCAACGTCGTGAAATGTGCGGAGACAGGGGAGCAGAGTGTCGATCGTGAAACCGTTTACACACTAAAATGCCACATATCTGTTGGGGTCAACCATCTGGTCGAGGGCTTGAAGCAGGGCTTAGTGACAGAGATAGAGAAAACGTCGCCCGTTCTGAACCGGACTGCTGTGTACGTAAAGGAATCTCTTCTTAGCAAGCTGCCTCAATATTTGACCGTGCAGTTTGTTCGATTCTTTTGGAAGAGAGATTCTGGGAAGGCCAAGATTTTGAGGAAGGTCGATTATCCTCTGACCTTGGACGTACTTGAATTTTGCACGGAGGAGTTGAAGGAAAAGCTGAAGCTACCCAGAAAACTCTTACAAGCTCAGGAAGATATCAAAGCCGGGCTTCTGAAAGCAACGAAAGGGAAAGAGAGGAAGGAGAGTGCGGACGAGGAGATGGCTGAGGCACCTTCGTCCTCAGGAACTATAGATCTTGTGAAGGAAGAACTTACCGGCGTTTATGATTTGGTTGCGGTGTTGACTCACAAGGGACGTAGCGCTGATTCTGGTCATTACGTTGCTTGGGTGAAACAGGAGAGTGGGAAGTGGGTTGAGTTTGATGACGAAAACCCCATTCCACAACGTGAGGAAGACATCACCAAACTCTCTGGGGGTGGTGATTGGCACATGGCATATATTTGTTTGTATAAAGCTCGGGTTTACCGAAGTGATGTTGAAGTCAAGGCACCAGCATTGTAATTTTACTCGAACAGTCAGTTAGTCTTGTACCGAAGTTCATGTCTGCACGGTTCCTACAGTTAATTACAGCAGTCTCCATACACTTGGAAGACCAAGAACAATTTTGACTGCACACGTGTTCAGTAAGTTCAGTTCTCTGCTTGCATGGTCCTCTTGAGATATTTGTTGTGCTGAAAAGACCCGTATTCACGTCTGTTACCCATCCAAGCCCGTGAGATTGTTGTATTCTAGAAGAAATTCCAGATGAAGTGACTGGGACGAGATGCCCAGTCTCCATCATCTGGAGCGTCCGAAGCCTAGCAAGTGTCATAATTTTTGGCGCCTACGGTCAAGATCATCGTGACACTGGCAAGTTTTATTTAGGTTTTTTTGGAGTCTGACAGTGAACGAAGGTTTTATGTCCTTTACCCACTCTCGCACTGATTTGTACTGATTTCCTGACCTTACTGAATTCCTGTGACTTGTTTCTCTATTTCATTTTAGGGACTTGGATATTTTTTGCAACGTTGGTCTCGACGTGACAAGTATGAGACGTGTGATACGTAAGGAGCTTTTAGGGGTATAATCTCGACACAAACCCTTGGTCGAGACGAAATCTGTGAGGGCAAATTCTGTGACAGAAGACTGGATCGTTGTAAACTAGAAGACAGACTTGTGAGTTGAATCTGTTACTTTGTCTGCTTCTTACGTTTTCATGCAGTACCGAGCTACAGTATTTGTTGAAGTGCTCAAATGGCTATTATGTTCTGTCGAGTGGTACATTCAGCAACGTAAGGGTCACAGTTGAAGCACAACCTTTCTTGTTCTTTCTTTTTTCTCGTTCCTCGTTCCTCGTTTCTATTTGGCAAGTAGTAAGAACTGTCATTTTTGGAAGAGGTAGTGTGAAGCAAAGTTAGTGGTGCATCGTTCTGTAGTATCCAACTGTCCTGGTCCTTAAAAGTTGGAATAGCTCTCCTTGGAAGAGAGCACTGTGGCATGAATTCACCTTCAGAGGATGATCTGGCTGAATTACTTAACGTGAAATGTCCACAACGGATACTTCTTGGTATATGATGTCAACTTCATGGTCATTTTTGACGAGATTGGTAGCGATCCACAATAAGGTGACATCTATCTACATATATCTCGAATTGAGAACTCTTCACCAGACCCAGCACATTCACTGATGTCCATGTCATGAGAAACGGGGTAACAACACTGGATGACGTCGTTCATACAGTTTCGCAGTGGTTTTGGATCTCGTGTGTACATCAATAGTCTCGGAGATTTAGAGTTAGGAACCGCAACCAGTGCAACATTTGAATCTGAGGAAAGCTGTTCATGCAGTGCGCAAAAGGCACTTTCGTCACTTAGTTCTGCACCCATTCGTATATAAGAGTAACGTATGATAAGGTTGTAATATTATTCTAAAAAAAGTCTCAGCACCAAAAGCAATTGGTTCGTACTTCTTGTGAAGTGTTCGATATCGAATTTTGGAACAATTGGTCGCTGTACCCCAATGTACAAACCTCCGAACCGATTACTCGAAATCGAGAAAGATCAAAACTTCGGATTCACGGTTGAGAAGTGCAATTTTGTGAGCCCCCGGACAGCACAACTGAGAAGCTTTCCGAACTGTCCTGCAAAAGCCTGCGTGTACTTTATTGCATGTTTACATCCACTGGTAGATTGAGTCGTTTGAGGACTACATCATTCAGAGATAGCTCCACAACTTCAGAACTTACGTAAATAAATATGAAGGCGAGATAGTAACAATCATGACAAGGCTGAATGTGGCTCAAGTGGAGGAAAAGACGTTGAAGCGAAGTTGTGCATGTTCTTTGATTCTTAAAAATTAATTCACCACAGTAAGAGGTGGGGAGAACTGTAGAACCAGTTCTAAAACGTCTAAACCCTACTGTCATCTCGAAACATGTGCAAATGAACTCAGAGAAGGACCTCTTTTTGTGTGTCCTACCCTGAGCTAGTGAACAACTTATGAAGACGGCCATATGTCGCAGAAGTGCATTTTGTAAGGACGGTCATACTCATATTAGTGGGTAAGCAAAAGCACAACATCATGGATTTCCGTGGACTGGGCTGATTCGATATTGGGCTATGAGCGAGTACATCGTACAGCCACGAGTCCGGTCACTCCGGCAGCCAGAGCAAATGATGAAACGTTGACAATAGACTCAAATACGTAACAGCGCGCTGGTGTACACCTGCCATTAAACGTGTTCCAGAGTTTCGACTCCAAAGTTGACAGCTTCTGCTCTTCAATTCTCGAGCTTTTGAAAAGCCCAAGAATGTATTCAACCTGAATTTGGAATGGAGAGCCCATACATTCTCCCCATACATACCTGGCGACTGGACAGACGGAGGACTTGACTCTCACCGCAGCGTCCGAGGACTCATGGCACACAAGTCAGTGGACCTCCGAGATTCCAACTCGTATAAAGGTTGATTTAATAGCCCTGGGGTTGAACTCGTCAGTTCTATAATGTGAATGGACGTGAATCAAAGGAATCGAAGCAACCAATCAGCCCCTAGACTAGCCCCAGCCTCAGGGGGCCTCGTGGAGTGGCTCATTGCTGGGTCTCCGGCCCAGAATGAGAGGCCTCCTCTCTCGCCGGAGAGGGGCTTTCGTGCGTTGCCGGTCTGTACTGCCGCCATGGCGGAGGATGTGGCAGGGTTGCCGTCCTGTGGTGCATGAGCGTGCTGACGGGGATGTGGAAGATTGGTCGGAACCAGGTGGTGATCAGCGGTCCACTCGGAATGTCGGTTTTCACCGGAGTTTGGGTTGACGTGTACCCACGTAGCTGTCAAGGATGTGCCAATGGGTAATGGACATGTAGCTCTCTGGTCGCTCACGTGGTACTTTCTCAGCAATTGCCTGTCTCCTTATTCCCTCCTTATTCCCCCGCCCCTCTTGTTGTGGCCGCGGCGGACCGTACGATAATCTCGCAACACTCCGATTTCAATCATCGATCTGTCTGCTGGATGGTGGGACAGGTTCCCTGCTAGGACTGATGGTTTTCACTTCGTCTGTCCGGTTCCCAATAGGGACCCTGGCAAATAAAATAAAATAGATTCCTCAACCCACCACCTAATAAAACAAGGCTTAGACTGTTCTTGACGTTTCGATGTTGTATATCTGATTTGGCCTACGTGGTTCACACTTACCAGTTCTGCTTGACCGGTTTGCGCTCATTCATGGTAATCTTCCCCAAATCCCATGTTTCTTCCTTCTCAAGAATGCCATCGCCTGCAATCAGATGGCAATATCATCCTGGATCTGCATGGCTGAATCTCCTACCGATTGGATATTGGATGTGAGACTTCACTGGAGCTTCTGTGATGTTTGGACTAGCATCTCGTGATTCCATTAGCTGAAGAACTTGGAGAATTCCTAACTTGTAGGGGAGTGATCTGTTTCAAGGTTACTACTCTATGCCTGTCACTCGCTTTGAATCTTCTAAGCATAGTAGCAAAACCATGTGCAAGCAGAATCCTAACTTTCTAAATGAAGAATTGGGTTGGTCGAGAAATCCTCTGTCCTAAGATAGGTGTCCATCTTAGCATGGGAGCGACTTCATGTAAGGGGATACCTTTGGGAGAAATGTGCACTCCTTGAAGTCAATCATTACCTTCACAAACACCTCGAGATATTGCTTCACGTGAAGCGAACGATTATTATTTATCTACTGTGTTCGGTTTCAAACGGATTTCATATAATGTAATCATCCACATGAATCAGATCCGCAAACGTTTCTCACTCTAAGACGGATGGGCACACGGAGGTCCAAGAGTCCATATTGCTAACATTTTATGCAGCACATGTTGATAATGCAACTTTGAAAAACCAATCATGAGTCTCACGTTTTATGATATTTGTCAAAGGGACACAAATTCTTTAAATTCAGGCGATTTGAAAAAACCTAAAATAATAAAATTTGAACCATGGAAAAAATTGGGTTGAGAACATCTTGACATGGCTTTGTATGTGAAAACGAATTTCGGGTTACAAAGGCCTGACATTGAAGTTCATGGCTATGGTTTGTCGGTTGTTCTATGTTTTTCAGCCCATTGACCCTTTGGGTCCCACGGGCTTATCTATTTACCATTTATAAAGAAGAATCTTATTATGAAAAATAGAAATGGGTTGGAACATCAGGGCAACCGATTTCTATTTTTACTAAATTCCTTTCTGAACTGAACTATATTCAGAATTGCTATAAACTATTGCGGAAGCGGATTCAAGACGGTTACTGAAAGGTAGTTTCAAAGAAACTAGGTCTCTTAAGAAAACATCCTTGTCCTCAGATCAATCTAAACCTTGAACCATCTTGATTTCCGGGACAAGTGTGTACACTTGTCCCGGATAATCTCTCACATCATCATGTCTTGTATCGCAATGGTCTACGGATGTCTTTTCTTAGTTGTATTGCAGTAAGTTCCTGAATGAGTTTTATCGATATTTTGCTTTCATTCTCTTGATTATTAGGTGGTAGTTTATGAATATATCATAAGTAGGAGTAATAAAATTAATTGATAATCTCTCATAGTCATTACATATCATAGAGAATAGAATAATATCGATTAGTATTTGGTCCAACAGATACAATTTCTCATACTACCTTATGTATCCATCACATACTCTTTCAACGTCTCAACTGTGATCATTGCAACACCGATAATTCCAAATTATAATCTACCACCCGAATCATAAATATAATAAAACGATGTAGAAACCAGTGGCTTATTAAATGCAAATAATGCTATTTGCATCATAGGTCAAAGTTTACGTATGTTCTTTTGCATACATCAACATATTCAATTAGATTAATTTTCTCCATAAATCATGACATATGTAGTGCACATAAAAAGACATCGTCAACATAAAACATTATCATATAAAATATGAAATTAGCTTATTTTCACATAACCGTATTTTTTTAAAAATAGTGACAATAATTGTAAAAAATAATACCATCATTTCATCAACATAATATGAAACTAATGTGAAACGTTTTTTTCTTGATAATGTGAAATTTCAACATTTATTTACTTATTGAATCATAGATCATAACATTTGATTGTAATTTAACATGGCAGATATCATAATTTCAAGCAAAGAGAAGCATACGTATATATTTTTTCTTAATAAATCAATGCATATAACTGAAAGATAATATAATTCGTATTCATGAGGATGAATCTTCGAATCATATTATTTACATTTAAGTTTTTTCTTTTCTTTTAATCTTTCAACATTATACTAATAATAATATAAATTGTCATAGAATTCAATCATCATCGTCAATTTGATGTACTTTTTATCAAATCGACTATGCTACAACATTTTATATGCATTAAAAATATATTCAATTGACTAATGAAACAATAAAATTAATTAATGTCATTCATAAATGCTTTAGATGATCAATTGATATAAATCATGTTGATTACAACTTATAATTATATTTTCAACCATTCGATAAAATTTATTATATTTTTTTGTAACAATATGTTAATAAAATTAAGTTAGAAAAAAATATATGTTTTAAATTTATTTTATATCATACTATTTTGTAATATTTACGACATTCATAATTTTCTGAAATTTCTTAGCCTATTTGTAGACTTTTCTCGTTTTTTTGCATTCAAACCCCTCATTAAAGCTGGAACATATACAAAAATCCATATGTGTAAAATTTAAAAATAATAATATGATAAAGAAACTCATATATATATATATATATATGAAGTACAACATCAATGATTAAGGTTGTCATGCATAATAAGAACAATTTTCTATCAAGTAATATATAGAGTAAGTGTGAATACACTTATTCTGGATGCAATTATTGGAATTCTTCAATTGGCTGTTAGAACTCTTATGTGGATAAAAATTGATCTAAATCGGGAATAAGCAATTTGATGATTATATGAGGTCACAAAGTTCAAGAATATTTTAACTAAAAGTGTTTGTTACTGTATAAATTTCAATATTGGAGTACCGAAGTTTTCTATTTTGGCATTTTATATTTTAATATAAAATATAAGTTTATCGGAACAAGAGACAAACCCGATGTTGATGAGGTCAGTTTTTTTTATATATATTTTAAAGTTTAGGATGAAACATCTTAATGTTGACAATGGAATTGCAAAATCGTGCAAGTGTGAGAAACAATGATTGACACAAAGGAAGTA